AAACGTCCCCGCTGCGGGGTCCCGGACCAATTTGGAGGGCGGATGAAGTCCAACATGCGGCGTAAGCGGTACGCGCTGACGGGGCGGCGCTGGAGCCAGAGCCATCTCACCTTCAGGTACCCAACATCTCCAGGGCTTCCCCACCCCCCCAGCCCATGGAGCGCCGTGGACCCCCTGAGGGAGTGAGTGCTGTCCTGGGCCATCCCCAGTGAGCTCTCTACCCCCAGCATCCAAAACTACATGGAGAAGCTGGGGCGGTACCACTCGTACGAGGTCATCCGCCGAGCCTTCCAGGTGTGGGAGCAAGCCACACCGCTGGTTTTCCGGGAGGTGCCCTACGAGGACATCCGGCAGAAGCGGAAGAAGGAGGCCGACATCATGGTGCTCTTCGCCTCCAGCTTCCATGGAGACAGCTCCCCTTTCGATGGCGTCGGGGGCTTTTTGGCTCACGCCTATTTTCCCGGTCCTGGCATGGGGGGGGACACACATTTCGACTCGGATGAGCCCTGGACGCTGGAGAACACAGATGTGTCTGGTGAGTTGAGGGCCAAGGAGGTGGTGAAGGCAACCAGCGGAGCCCGCTGACTCCCTGGGTTTGAGGGCAGAGGGGGCAGGAGTGGAAAGGAGAGCAGCTCCACCATGGGTGACGCAGGCAGGTCCCACCGGAGCGCCCTCATCGTGGGGTTTTGGGGCCAAGGACCGACCCCATGTGTCGTGTCCTCCGCCCCACCTTGCTGATGATGCCTTTCCCTGCAGGGAACAACCTTTTCTTGGTGGCCGTGCACGAGCTGGGGCACTCGCTGGGCCTGGAGCACTCCAGCAACCCCAGCGCTATCATGGCCCCCTTCTACCAGTGGATGGACACAGAGAACTTCAAGCTGCCCGAGGATGATCTCAAGGGCATCCAGCAGCTGTACGGTGAGGAGCTGGGTGGAGGATCAGCCCAGAGGTGGGACACCGGGCACACGTGTGGGGAGACTGAGGCACGGATGCTGCTGGTCTGCATGACCCCGTCCCTTCTCTTGCCCACCCGATCCAGGTACCTCAGATGGGCACCCTCAGCCCACCAAGCCTTTGCCCACTGTGACACCCCGGAGACCTGGCAGGCCAGACCAGAGACCACCTAGACCACCCCCTCCAGGGAAACCAGAGCGACCCCCCAAACCTGGTGGCCCAGACCAGCCTGACCAGTATGGCCCCGACATCTGCGACGGGAACTTCGACACGGTGGCGGTGCTGCGTGGGGAGATGTTTGTGTTCAAGGTACCTGCCGGGACCCCCCCCCGCCCCTTCCCTGGGGATGTGGTGGGTCTCTGGGTGGGAGGACCCCCCAGCAAGATGCCTGGCACTGGGACTGT